GGTGTGCTTCTTCCTTGCATCTCACAGAATTTTGAGGAGGATTAATTCTTCATTGATTAAGCTTCCTCAATGCCTAGTATAAAGCAAACTCATCCTGTCTTAAGTTGTAAACATGATTAAGTTTCGAAGATCAGATTGCTAATGTGAAAACCGGGTCATGAGAATATGAAGGATAATTACAGATCACAAAATGTGATAATCAGGTCAGTACACAATGGCCAAATTTTTACAGAACTGCCAACATTATGTAATTATCAAGAGGAATGGTGTTGCATTGATCATCATAAAGGACAGTTCAAGAACTATCTTAAAATACAATGCTGCTTGTAGTAGGATAATGTCTATCTGCACACAAGGAAACCCAGTTAATACAACTATTGTTCAAATTTATGAACCAACCATGAAAACTAGTGATGAAAAAATTGAAGCATCTTGTCAACTTCTTTAATCTTGAGTAGATAAAACATACAGTCAAGTTGCATTGGTCATTACTGATGACTAGAATGCAAAAGTTAGAAACAAAGAGGCAGGAAGAGTGCTTGGGATAGATGACGTCGGTAATAGAAATGAAGTTGGAGATCACATGATAGAATTTTGTAAGACCACAACTTCTGCATCACAATTACCCTTTCTTCTTGTTCAATAACACGAAAGGTAACTTTATACCTGGACTTCTCAAAATGGAATCCCCAGAAATCAAATTGACTGAATTTGTAGGGAAAGACAATGAAGAAGTTCAATATAAGCAATTAAAATGAGGACAAGGGTGGACTGTTGGACAGACCATCATTTGCTCATATCAAAGTTCAAAGTTGAAGAAAATTAAAACAAGTTTATTAGAGCCAAAAACACTGCCTTGACTATATCCCACTTGAGTTTTAAGAGCATCTCAAGTACAGATTTGTTGCATTGAACATTAATGACAGATGACCTGATGAGATGTGGGAGGGCATCAAAACCATTATTCATGAAGAAAGCAAAAGGTCATTAAAAAGACAGGAAAATAAGAAATGATCATTGTGGAAGCCAGAAGAGAATCTGAAACTTGCTCCTGACGGTAGAGTGGCTAAGGCAAATAGAGGAAACGATGAAGTAAAATTGCTGAACAGAAAATTTCAAAGGGCAGCTCAAAAATACGAAGTCAAATATTATAATGAAATGTAAAACGACATAGATTTAGAAAACCATGGTCAGAATATGTGCAATGGGAAGAACTCAAGAAAAAATTCAAGCCTTGAGTTACAATATTAAAGGTTCTACTGGGAAAATGTTGAATGATATAGGAAGTATCCAAAGAAAATGGAAAGAATACACAAAGTCAACCAATGAGCTAGAACCAATGGTGCTGAAGGAAGATGTTGAAGCTACATTGAAAACATTAGCCAAAGACATGGCTCCAGGAATTGAGGGAATACCAGATGAAATGTTTCAACAAGCTGATGAAGCATTGAAAGCACTCAATATTCTTGCCAAGAAATTCAAAAGACAGCTACTTGGCCAACTGACTGAAAGAGGTTCATATTTTTACCCATTCCAAAGAAAGGTGATCCAATAGAATGCACAATTTTTAGAACTATATTATTAATGTCACATGAAGTAAAATTTTACTGAAGATCATTCAACAATGGTTGCAGCACTACACTGACAAGGAACTGCCAAAAATTCAAAGCAAGATGTGAAACAAGGGCTATCATTGCTGTCATAAGATGAATCTTGACTGAAAGCAGAGAATGCTAGAAAATAATGTTTTATTGACTTTGCAGAGGCATTGCACTACGTAGACCAAAACATGCTATCGATAGCCTTGAGAAGAATGGGAATTCTAGAATATTAAATTGTGCTCATGTGGAATCTCGACATGTATCAATAGGCAGCTGTGTGAACAGAACATAGAAATATTGCATGAATTATAATAGAGAAGGGTGTGCATTAGTGTTGCATACTTTCACCACATTGTTCAGTCTCTATGTTGATCAAATCATCAGGGAAGCTGGGTTATTTGAAGAAGAATGTAGCATCAGGATTGGAGAAGACTTATAACAACCCGAGATATACAGAAGACACAATCTTGCTTGCTGAAAGTGAGGAGGACTTAAGCATTTGCTGATGAAGTTCAAGCACTGCAGCCTTCGGTATGGATTACAACTCAATGTAAAGACAACCTAAATCCTCACAACTGACCCAATAGGTCACCCGACTCCTCTGGGTGGCCAGCTAATTAATTTTTCCTCTTTCAATTTTCCAAGAGTGCTGCCTGGTCATTCCTGAGTCACGATTTCGAGATTACAGTACAGTTAAATATGAGCACTTGCACAGTGCTTAAATCAAGAATGTGGTATGGATTTAAGAAGAGACTACATAGAAACTACTGAGCAGACTGTCCAGATTAGATAAATCTTTTCAAAAGGACACACCCTAGAGTTGATTATAGAAAAAGAATATCTCAATATACCTCAATATCTCAATATACCTCAATATACTTCAAAGAAACATACACAAGTTTTAATATAGTGTATTCTATTAGTTGTACAAGACTTTCTAAATAATATTCTAAACTTAAAAGTCTTAATACCAAACAGAAAAAATAATTTACATAACTTAAAAAATATTTATACAAAGCAAAAACATTCTACTCCAAAGAAAAATTAAGAAGAAATTATTGGAATAATATTAAATAAAAAGATAACTTGTTATAAATTATTAAGATGATAACAAGATCTCAATATAGTAAAGGGTAGATGGAATGAACTGATATTATAGAAAAATAGAGAAAGGAATTGAATATAGTTGGTCCCCAATTTAGGATGGAGTTTCATCACAACTACTCCATCTTAAATTGGTCCTGATGCAAGCTGGGGACTGCTTTTTGTCTTCAGTTTTCATTATTAATGCCTTCTACTATTAGTATCTTTATACATCTTTGCATTTGGGAATTGTCAACTTTACATCTGAGGATGATAGCAGTTGCAAGTTAAGGACTGCAACATTGTAATACTGCATATCACCCCCAATATTAAAGTGATTGTAAGCCATCAAAATTTGGTGAGGAAAAAGAAAAAAAAAATTAAAAATAGTCAATGTAAAAAAAAAAATTGGTGAGGAAATGGTGTGAGGGTCACCTCTGACCTCCTCCAGATATACGAAGGGGAAGAATAATGCATCTCCACAGCAATGCAAGACCTATTGCCCCAAGGTCACACATACCCCCACTCTCCATTATTCTAACATCAACAAACCCACCCAGAGCACTAATTTTCTGCCGGTTTCTTTAAAACCCAACCTGAACTCATGCTCAACTCACAGAGATCCCATATAGCCTTTCAAAGCTGTAAAGCTTTTTCGGAGCAGATACTCTGAGCTTTCTCCCTTATAGGGGCTAGTAGGTTTGAACGGCTGACCTTGAGGCTAACAGCCCAGTGTGTAGCCCATTGTCCTCAGACAACAAAACAATTTTTTAAGTGCTTGTGACACAAGTTAAATGGTAACGTGATACAACTCTAAAAAATTATAAACAACCCAATTGAGTTTAAACTGTAGTAATATTTATGTCACACCTTTTAACAAAACTATAGTTAAAACTATGTTTAGAATCTAGATGTCCATTAGACTCCCTTACCCTGTATTCATAAAACCTTTAAAAGTCTATGTAGTTCTGGAGAGCAAGCACTTGATTTTAAATAGTTCTTCAGTGTCTTTTTGGTTTTTTTTCTCTGACCCAAGACTAGTAATATCAGATTGCCAAATTGCTAACATTCTCTCTGGCAAGAGAAATCATTATGTCAGGTTTCTTGGGTGGGAAATACCTCAGTTCTTGGCTTTGCCATGAGAAAGAATTCACCCGAAGCCTGGTTTGTGATCCAAGTGAGTTTTTACAAAGGACAGAGAAGTTTCAAGTTTCACAGTCACTGAGCCTGGGCACCTCACGTGGCGGCCTGAGGCCAGAGAGACCATGGCAAGGCTGTGTGGAAGGCAGAGGAGCAGCTGGAAAAAGATGGAGGTGGTCTCCAGGTTCCAGCCTTTAGGGCCCTTGGCTGAGAGGCGTGGTCGATGGTACTGGTTGCATTGGCTGGATTAAGCCCACCTGGCCTAGTTTGGGCCCACCCCCTGGTTCCTGTTTCTAGCTACCTAACAATTTGTTCTTGATCAATAAGAAAAGAAAGTGTTTTTTTTCCTTTGTGCATTTCATAGGGTTTTATGTTATACTTGTTAAAACATTGAACTGACTCGTCTTTATTCTCTTAGAATGGTTAGTCCTAATGGTCTTTCTTCAAAATTTGTCTCAATTCTTTGACAGTTTGATTAATTTTGTTCTACAAAAAACTTCAGAGAGAGTCACAGGAAGTTGAATAGAACATTAGTAACAAATTCGAGTCTCCTGAAACTCTAATCTAGAGGGTCTACCCCAATACAGTTCCAATGGTTGATATTGTCATTTATTCCTTAAAACCAGCTACTCTTCTCTTGACACGCATTACCTGTGATTCTGTGAATTGGATGTTGTGGAGCCTGAGGCAAACTGCTGTGAGTAATTATAATATTGCTGAGTGATGTGACATCTTCCAAGAGAGGCTATTTCTCACGGAAATTGTATGATTAGGTCTCTAGGCATCTTGGCTTGTTCAGGGAGTCGTGGTGGCCCTCTGGGGAGCTAATGTGTCTTTAATTATTTACAGGTTCACTAGAGACCCTTTATAGCTATAAGCACAGCAGCTACGGGAATATTTAAAAACAATAGCATGAAATGTGTCCGAGGCAAAGTAAAAACGAAGACATTAGTAGAAACTGATGCAGGCACAGAAGCTGCCAGCTCTAGTTAGCATCCCGGGCTTCTCTGTGTTGGTTTGGAGTTGGCGATTGTATGTGCAATGACACAGGTTAGTCTCATTCTGAAATGTAGAAGGCTTTTTACTCGCCTATATAGGAGGCTGGCAAAAAATCACATCTAAGATGGACTTTGATCTCTTTAAGCTTATAGCCAAATTTGCTTAAAAAAACATCTCCTACTCAAAGTTATTTTTTGTGGCAAGGTTTTTTTTCAATAATCCCTACCAGTTTGGGCTATTTGGGAAAATAAAGAGAAGGCCACACTCCCCAGTGGGCTATACCACTTAGTATAGTTCACTACTATTTTGTGGCCTACATTATTATATATTTTTTAAAAAGATAAATCATCTCCATGTATTAAATCAGAGTCTAAAATTACAAAACTATTTAGACAGCCTTACTATAAAACATAAGTATTTTTCCCAAACATAAGTATTTTTATACACATACACACAAATACAGATAGGTACATAGCTAGATAGATAGCCCATGAAGGTATAAAAGTGGTTAATGTGCTCGACTTCTAAGCAAAAGTTTGAGGATTTGAGACCAACCAGGGGATCTCCAAAGAAAAGTTTGGCTCTAACATCAATGCACGCAAAACACTCAATATAATAGAACTCGAAGGGAAATTCCTATGTACAACACAACCGACAGTCAATGTTTCACTCAATGACGAAAGCTGGAAGCATTTACCCGGCATATGGGAACTAGACAAAGATGGCTGCCATCACCATTCAACATTGTGCTGAAAGTGTTAGCCCAAACCATTAGACAATAAAAAGAAACCAAAGGAATACAATTGGGCAAAGAAGAAGCAAAACTCTCACTATTTGTAGATGATGTGATTTTATACATAGAAAATCCCAAAGACTCAACAAAAAGATTGTTGGAAACAATAAGAAGGTTGAGCTATGTGGCAGGATACAAGATTAACAGCCCTAAATCCATCAGATTACTTTGTGCTAAGGAAGAGAGCTCTGAAAAAGACATTAAGAAAATAGCTACTTAAATATAAAATACTTAGGAATAAATCTAACCAGAGAAACAAAAGATGTACAAAGAAAACTACAGAATATTATTATAAGAAATCAAAAATACTGTACACAAATGGAAATTCTTTGTAAATAGGAAGACAATACTGTAAAACTGTCAATACTACCCAAATCAATCTATAAATAAAATGCAATTTCTATCTAAATTCCAACTAATTTTTTAAAGAAATGGAAAACCTACTAACTATCTATGTATAGGGAAGAGGCCCAGTATAAGCAAAGAACTCCTTCAGAAGAACAGAGGAGGAGACCTTCCACTATGCAAACTCAAAATCCATTACACGGCCTTAATCGTCCAAGCAGCCTGGTAGTGGTACAATGATAGGCACATGGACCCATGGAACAGAATGGAGAAATAAATTCATCTATCTGCAAGCAACTGATTTTTGACAGAAGGCCAAATAAACATTTCATTGGAAAGAAACAGTCTCTTCAACAAATAGTTCTGGGAAAATTGAGTCTTTTTCTGCAATTTCTCATACTATAGAGGCATGTGTGTTGCTGTGATGCTAGAAATTATGTCATAGGTGTTTGAAAAGCCAGTAGAGTTCCCTAAAGTGAGCAAGTGTCAGCAGAGCTTCTAGACTCAGAACAGACTACAAAGAATGCATGGGTTGTCTTCCTCCGCTACATTCGCAATGGAAACTGCCATAGATGGCCAGGAGAAGAAACACTGGTCTTGGAAGTACAGCCAGAAGCCCCCATAGAGTCAAGGATGGTGAAACTTTGTTTTACATACTGTGGGAAAGTTGTTGAGAAAGCTGTTTCCCTGGAAAAGGAGGGAGAATGAACAGCTGGATTGATATAGTAGTTGCAACAATGGCCTCAACCACAAGAACAATTGTGAGCACTGTGCTTCGTTCTCTTGTGTAAGGAGTCTGGTGAATTGGAATGGACTGGACTGCACCTGACACCAACTGTAGTAGAACAAAGTCTTGCTTATCCTCCACATAAAAGCAAACTCAAGATGGAGCAAAGAACTAAATGCAGACCCCAGGGCTATACAGATCATCAGTGAAAACTTAGGGACTTACTTAAGGGCCCTAGTTCACAGCATCGGCATATTTTAAAACATAACAATGGAAACACACAGTAGGAGGCAAAACAGATGGCTAGGAGCTACTAAGGATAACACATTTTTGTGTATCAAAACCCGTCACCATAAAAGTAAAAAAGCCATGTGCTAGGAAATTTCTTTTATAACAGCACAACAGATAAGGGACTGATTTCTAAAATCTACAGAATACTGCAAGAACTTACTAAGAAAAAACAAACAAGGAGATAAACCAAATAGAAAGTGGAAAAAGATACAAACAGTTCACCAAAAATGATATTCAAATGGCTAAAAACCATATGTGAAAAATACTGAAGATCACTAAACAACTCCCCAGGAGATACAACTCAAAACAACGAGGAGATAATAACACCTCACACTGACAACGACAATCTCAATGGGGGGGACGGGGGACACAACAAATGCTAGAGAGGGTGTGGAGGGATTGCAACTCTCACATGCTGCTGGTGGGCCTGGATAATCACTATGGAAAACTGAAATGGCTTTAAAACAACTGGGATTAGCCCAAATAGAAGCATACCAGTCTGCATTGATCATGAGGTATCAACGGAGCAGGTATCAGGTATCAGAAGATCCCAAACAAACAATTGTATCGATGAAAATGAGGGGGTTGGAGTGGAGACCCAAAGCCCCTCTGTAGACAGTTGGACATCCCCCCACAGAAGGGTTACAAGGAAGGGACAATTCAGCCAGTGTGTAGCATAGCATTGACAAAACACAATACATTCCTCTAGCTCCTGAATGCTTCCTCCCTACCCCCACTATCATGAATCCAGTTCTACCTTACAAATCCAGCTAGACCAGTATGCACATTGGTACAGATAAGAGCTCTCAACACGTGGAATCCAGGACAGATACACCCCTCAGGAACAGTAGTGGGAACAGTAGTGGAAGTAGCAATATCATGAGGGTAGGGGTGGTTTTGAGAGTGGAGAGGAAGAGAACGGGAGAACTGATCACAAGGTTGGATATACAGCCCCTCACCCCTGAGGGGGATGAATAACAAAAATGTAGGTGAAGGGTAACAATGGACGGTGTAAGAAACAAACTAACAATAATAATATGTAATTGATCAAGGATTCACAAGAGTGGGAGGGTGGGAGGGGGGAAAAGAGCAGGTGATATCAAGGGTTCAAGTAGAAAGAAAATGTTTTGGAAATGTTGATGGCAACATATGTACAATTGAATGATGGATTGCTGTAAGATTTGTAAGAGCCCACCAATAAAATGATTAATAATAACAATAAAAAAATCTGGGAATAACGGTTCCATATACATCAGAGATACAGTGTTAGTCTGGGTAGACTAGAGAAACAAATTCATAGACACTCATATGTGTATAAGAAAGA